TGTACCATCTAGGTAAAAATCCGACTAAGTGTACCGTCTAGGTAAAAACCCGACTAGGGGACCGTCTAGGTAAAAATCCGACTAAGTGTACCGTCTAGGTAAAAATCCGACTAGTGTACCGTCTAGGTAAAAATCCGACTGATCTCTACTCGGTCATAATCCGACCTGTCTGCTCTGCAGGGGTAACTCGGCCAAAATCCGGTCTAACTCTCCCACATAGATACTGTTCCGATATCAGGGATAAGATCCCATCTTTAATGACAAGATATTCTCCAAATATTAACGGTTAAGGAAATCTCTTGATCCTCGGGGCCCAAGTGGCCCATGAACGACATACCATAAAACCCAAAACCCTAGAGTTGAGAAGGCAGATTACACTTTTGAATGCTCTGGCTTCGCGGCTTAACCTAGAGGAAACCCTAGTTCGTCCCGTGGCCGGAACAATTTTATTTTTCTTATTAATGTATATCTTAAAATTAAAATAAGAGAAAATAATAAGTGTTCACTTTGTTAGTAATAATTACCTAATTTTTTCGGTGACACTTCATGTCTTTTTTTTTTTAATGTAAGTATAATAATAATGATAAAAGTGTGTTTGAAAACAGAGAGAGTATATTATTAACACTTTATTTGTATAAAAAAAAATTATCTTACACATTTTTTTATTTATCAATGAGATACTGGTCTTGCACTCTTAATTACTTCCCCAGAAAGTACCTTATTTGTTTTTCATTTCAAAAGCTGAAGGCTAAGGCTAATTTATTGACCATTAAGAATGGTCTAGTGGATCATATATTTACTATAAATCATCTTTTATTGTTAATGTAATACGTATTAGCATAAATATCTCGTTTTCGCCTATGGTAGGAACTTTCATTTCATCCAATAATATATACTGAATATTGAATATTGAATATTGAATCAATCATACACTTGCATTAGATCAAATTATGAAGAGTCGCTACCTTGGCTGCAATTGCGTGGAAATAGAAAACATGGTCTTCTTGTTCTCAATTCCGACCGATTCCACGCTGTACAAAAATCATATACGGGACTTGCTTTCCGCTTTCAAATTATTAAATCGTATAAGGGTCGCATTCTGGAAAGACAAGGATCGAGTCAAATGGATGAGTGCAATCCAATCAAAATTCAACTAAACTTGTACGTTATTACCCATACAATTTGATCCCTTTGGATTTTTATTACTTTCAAGTGTGGGTGCAAGACGTATACAGTACGTCATTGCTATAAAAAAACGCCACTAACAAAGCTTCATAATAAATTATGTTTGGTTTAAATGCGACTTCAATAAATTTTGCTCATTTGTTTTGTGTTATTATAACTTTTTGTTATTAAATTTAAGTATTAATTTCTCTGTTCTCACCCAATTAAATTTTGATCTTTTGTAATCTAAAAATAAGCTAGAGATGGAGGGGATGTGACCTTGTGAAAGAGCGATAAATATTTGCTATTTTTTTATTGGTAAAAAAAAGTATAATGATAGGAACTACGTTTAAACTTAAGTTTTTATGCAAATTACTCAAAATTATCACAACAAACCTACCCTATTAGTTCAATTATTTGCTAGTTCTTGTTATCTCGTGGACCGAAGTTAAGATATCAATTAATAATATGTTAAAAATATTGATAAGTATGAATATAAATTTCTTTGCAACTCCTTTACATTAAGATACATAGGATTTAAATTATAAAATACTTTAAGAATTTTAAGTAAACGCATCAAAATTGAAAGCACTTTAAATAACGTTGTTAGTTAGCTAAATTTGACCAAACAAGGCATCGTTTTTGCGCATAACTATGTAAATATAAATATATATATA